TAGTTAGTAGTACGTACGTACGTACGTACGTACGTACGTACGACGAAGAGAAGTAAGTAAGGTAAGTAAGTAGTAGTACGTAGTACGTAGTAGTATAGTAGTAGTAGTATATATATATATATATATATATATATATAGAGAGAGAGAGAGAGAGGAGAGAGAGAGAGATGCACTTTTTGTACAAACATGTTGAGCCATAATAGGTTGCCAGCCAAATTATTAGACACCTGACATAAACTAGACATTGATACACATGTTGGTGTCAATACAAAACAACAAGGAACTGATTGACACAATAAGGGTGATATTTTTAGTACAAACATGTTGAACCCTACTCGGTTTCCAGCCAAAGTACTAGACACCTGACATAAACAAGACATTGATACTGATGTTCGTGTCTATATAACACAAGAAGGAACTGGTTGACACAACAAGGGTGATTTCAAGAAAAGAAATTGAAGATGATTAGAAGATTGACACATGAATATCATTGCTGGACATGATTCCTGGCTCTGAGTCCAAGTCGTAGCTTGCGGTGAAGTCACAGCCACCTTCTACGGGGTTCTTGATTATCAACTTTGATGAAACTTAACAACTAGTACTACAAAGAGCAGTCAATAACTTTTTCTTTGGGGAAGTACTCTAGTAGCAAAGGCCAATACAATGCTAATTGCCACACAGATTACCACACAATGGCTTATACGGATACTAAACAAAGTTTATTAAAAGTTATGGTAATCTTTTATTTTCAGTGAGAGGTGTAGTGAAAACCAACCATTGAGGGAGGTCAACTCCAGATATGAGAAATCTTTAAATGATGATGAGTTTAACTTTATCCATAGGAAACACTTTTGACAAGGCCTAACATAGCAGTCACCAGGGAGGTTCTCGATTCAAAGAAATCTCTTCTTCCACAAGTCTTTTCTTCCATGAGTAGGAAATAAATAACTATCCATAAAAAAAAAATTTCGATTTTGGAAATTCAATGTAGATTGAGATTCATTTACAAATCTCATATGTACCTTACTTATAACTACAAAAGCTTACACAACCAAGATTCATTAAGATAATTATAAGAGACATGGTCTCAACAAAAACAGGTGGCTAGCCCAGTTGGATCAAAATTTTCACAAACAATGCAACTCCAAAATTACCAATATAATGAAGTGTATCAAATGTTTTCAATAAGTCTTTTGGTTTGTAACAAAATAATAATACGTGGGAATACATGTACATACATGTGCATGTGTAGGCATATGCGCACACATGCACACGCAAATGCCGGACACACATAGGCACACACACATACATGTGTGCATATTAGATCAGATATTTTACTGGATGAAAATATATGGCACAAATGGTTGATTCATGGCAAGTTTAAGATTTATGCACTGCTAATGTCAGAACTACAAGCAAGCCACACGAGATTACTAACGAAAGCAAAATAAGACTATCGTTATTGATATGAGATTGAACAGGTGGGGAATAAAGTAAGAAACCCTGAATCCTTGAATGAATTGATCAAAGAAATTTCTCATAATGTAATGAAAAGGATAGTTTGAGAAATAATACCCATAATTACTATGTATTCCAATTGGACAAAAGCCATACCCTTGAATTAATTCAGTAAGTTGGGGCTGCAACTCCTCATCTCTTAACTTATGTATCTTATTTGATATAGTGTCAATAGCTTTAATAGCTATGTCTAGTTTCATGGATAACTTTTTTATCGAAGTTTGAACGGTATCAACCTTATCTTGTTCTGCTCCTTTGTCATCCAAAACCTTCAGACGCTTGCACTTCTTTTCATAAATTATCCGCATCTTCTCCTCATCCTGAAATTCATAATTACTACTTTTCTATGATTATTCGATTACAAAACGAAGCAATGATATTTTGAAAACCTAAAGGGGAAAGAATGGAAAGCCAAGAATGAAAAACACTACTACTAGAAACTCTCTCTCTCTCTC